ATTAACTACACTGGCGATATTCATATGGATAGAGTATGAAAGTTATAAATAAAACTATTATTGAAAAATGTGGTACCATGAACTTCAAAATGACTGAAAAAAATAATTACAAATTTAATGATAGTTCAACAGAAAACATTTTTACTGATTTTAAAGTAAATACATATTTTGCAATGTTAGATCAATTTAAGCTAGAATTGTTGAAAAGAAAAATTGCATACAACTACCTATTAAAAAATATCCTTGCTTTTTAAATTTGTTTATTATTGCATAGGATTGATAAGAAATTATAAAATTAATTTGAATAGGAAGTAAAATAAATAATCATTAAGTATTTATTTATTTTAATCAGTATGCGCCATACAATGTATATAAAAAAATGTAAATTTTACAATTTAATTTTAATTAGATTCTTGGGGTTGTTTGGTAACACTTAATTATTTAAATTTGGTTACGCAAATGATAAGCAAACTCGTACGTGTGAACTTACAAAAAGTATATTACGATATTTATTTTCAATTAACGTGTATGACGATAAACACCTTTTCACAAACACTATGTTCGTTATTTAATATTTCATAAATAATTTGTTAATTAAAATACGTAAATTCCTGCATTTTCAGTCATTACCTTTTATCCCCCCGAGTACCCTTGCGTATCTTTTCGGGTACCATTAGTGGTACGCGTAACCCGGTTGAGAAACGCTGATTTAAATTAACCGGTGGAGTACGATTGCGCGCGGTGCCGGAATAACAAAGAACACGCTTTTGACTATTCAAAAGCGTACGATTACGCGTGAAATTGGATGCGACGTTGCCAACTTATTATTAAAATTTAAAGTAATTATTATTATTAAAAAAAATTATAAAAAATTTGTTATTTGTCGTATATGTTGTTAGGTTAAATTGTATGTGTATTGTATGTTAAAATGTATGTATTAAATTATATGTGTTTAGGTTAAATAGTACAAATAGTTACAAAAAATAACAGATACTTTATATTCACACTCAGTCTAATTTAATAAAAAAATCGTTGTAATAAAATAATATAAAATATTCGAATAGATATCGAAAAAAATTTAAATTTCAAAGCCCTAATACCTATTTCCAATTATGGAAATTATGCAAATACTTAAGTAAGTTTTTTGGTGTTTTATTTTTTAGATATTTTTCGTGTTGCTTACTCACAAATTCGATTATTTTTTAGTTCTTCCTTTGATTTTGGCTTGCTTTTTCCTTTGGAAATGGTTGATAATTTAGTGACGGTTTCTGCCTGAGTTTCCATAAGCGTACTTATAACAACAGATGTCGGAGGATGAGCACTAGTAAACTGGCCAATATATATTCTATGGAAACTTTCAGCCCCGTTTGTAGTTCTGAAATGTATGAATATAGTAAACAATATTTTTTTTTTTTTGACTTATTAGTAAATATATACCTAGGATTTAGTGATGGCGTTTCATCCCATTAAATAAGTGGAAATAAACAACCAGGTTCAACATACGTCTCCAAAACATAGTTAGAAAATAATTGTCCATCTGTAATATTTGGACACGTACTTATAAGCTCTACAAAAGCATCCTCCACGTCATCTGGAGCGATGAAAGAAAATCCAAAAAATGATTTAAGCCATAATTGTAAATCGTTCTTTTGATCGTTGTATGCCATTCTTAGCTTTGTATTGCCATTAATCTGAAAATTGATTTTGATTAATTATTTCTAAAAATATTCATATTGATTCAACTTACTTTGCGCCACCAAGCTTGTCCTAAGTGAAAACGGCATGTTTTAATTTTGACATCCGGAAAAACTTCTTTTGTTGCTTGAATAGCACCAATTTCAAAATCAATGTGTAATATTTCAATTTTAAAAAGTAGTGATTGCTTTTCACATATATTAATTAAATATTTCCATACATTTATGTATGTGTTTTTAAATTTATCCTTTAAAAAAAAAGTATACCAAAGGTACGTAAACACCGTTTTTATAGCCATGAATGGTGTATAATTGCAAAAAAAAATTTTGGAGCATAGTCGAATGTACCGTCCGAAAATATATCTGTGCAACTTGTCAAACATTGAAGATTCTCTTCAGTTGTTAACCAAATAAAAGTGCAATCATCGGGTAAATGTATAATTTTTTTTCCCTCTAAACATTAAAAAATCTTCATTTTGTAATTCGTTCAGTTGCGTAATGGCATTTTCTCAAGATGAAGGTTAAGGAGGAATGTTTTTTCTTCGTTGAATATACATAGCCTTTCTAACTGATTTTATATCATTATATTCTAACTCGGTACTCACGCTATTTATAAGTTGACTTCTAATTATTTTTATTGGCCGGGTAGCTATGGAACATAGCTTTACGCTTACAGTTTTCCCTTAGAACTTGCCTTTTGATTTTTTTGAGTAGAATCTACAAGGTGGTTATGCTCACCAGCAATTTTTATCATTATTTTATTGTCACTTGTCATTAGGTGCCCATACACGAGCTGATTTTATAACGGATTTGGTCTCTGACGGATTAAATCCTCTAAAAAGTCCTATCGTGTGTGGTGTTCTAAGGATTCAATCCGGCAGATTTAAAATCCAACGGATTTAGTCCAACGGTTCAAGTCTCTCGCTTTGCCACAGACTAAAAGACCAGGTCCGGCGGACCACGGACCTTGATAAGAAATTTTTGTTTTATTGATAACTGTTGTAGTCCGTCGCGTAAATCCGCAGATCTTTCAGAACGTCTTGAAAGACCAAAGGACTAGGTCCTCAGCATAAAAATCAACGGATTTCCTCCACTAACCAGCGGACATGGTCCGCTGGTGGATTCGCTCCGCGAAAAATAGCGGACTTTTATTTTCACGTTAGTGGACACGTTAAAGGACCTAGTCCGACGGACCAAATCTTTCAAGGACCTAAGGATTTAGTCCGTCAGACCTAATCCGTTATAAAATCCGCTCGTGTATGTCTACCTATTAAGACTGTACAAGTACACTGCTTTTTACAGCACCTCCATCTATTATTTCCATCTGCCCGCTGTCTGATATGTCGAAATTTGTGTTTCTTCACCACTAACAAATCACTCCCCCTTTCTGAACTTATTATGAAAATTTTTATTTTCCATTTTAAAAAATTAATTATAAATTGTTAACAATGCAAAAAAATATACGTTGACAACTAAAACACGAACACGAACACAACTGACATTTCAGTAAATACGTATAGACATACAATGCGAGATCATAGTTTAGGTATATTTGTACATGTGAGAAAATTTACAATAAAGATAAAAATATGATCTATAGTAAAATTATCTACTTCTTAGCGATGGAAAGTTTGTCTGGTATCGGCGATATTAAGTAATAAATAACGTACGGATCACCACAATCGGAATCTAATCGGATATTTACCATGCACCTATAATCTGTATATTTGGCAACGTTGCTTAGAAGCCGAAAAAATTTAACACGCGCAATCGTACACCTAAAAAGAAGAACACTCATCAAAATTAGAAAATATATTTTTGATTTATTTATTTAATTCTTTAGATAAAAAACAAGTTGGTAATCAAAATCTCTTCAAACACTTAATATCTGAGATAAATTTTTTAGAAGAGTTTGTTATTGATGTAGTTGTAAATAATCAATCATATCAAATTTATTTCAGTTTAGCACTAATAGTTGGGGACAATTTAGGTTTACATGGTATTCTAGGATTCACTGAATGTTTAGTTTCTAATTATCATTGTAGGTTTTGTCATAGTTCTAAAGAGGAATGCCACATACAAATTTCCTAAAATAACAAAAGTCTGAGAAATATTGATAGTTATAATATAGATGTTAATACCAAAAATGTTGCACTAACTGGAATTGTTGAACCATGCATTTGGAATAATGTTAATTCATTTCATGTTGTTTATAACTATTCTGTTAATTTAATGCATAATTTACTTGAAGGTGTATGTAATTATGATATGTCATACGAAACGGTAAATATGTTTACTAATAATACAAATCTGCAGGATTTATACATTTGCCACAAGTGTAAATACATTTATTTATACTTATTTTATTTTTTACACGGAATATTGTGGTCACAATGGAGAAAAAACAGCGTGTAGGTTGTAGACGTATGCACTTCAGGAATATGCTGTAATCTTATTATTCAAAATTAATTTAATTTCTGCTATTTACACTAATAATAGTCCGGCGATAAGGTTGTATACTTTTTGATTATTGTTTTTTTTAAAAATGTTACTCTGAAGTTGTGCCAACGGACACATTATTTACTAATGTAATTCAAATTTAATAAAGAACATTGTTATTTACATTTATTTGTTGTGTTCAGATTTAGTAAACAGATCATTGAATTAGTGGCATATTGAAATCTGAATATTTCAAAATTATAATATTACCAACAGAATTACTTAAAATACGTCAGAGTTTGGATATATTTTACTATTTTAGATTAGAACAATTACTATTTCGACATAAAAAAAAAATTAGATCTGGATGTGCGAGTGTCAGCACTTTTCGGGCTAAGTATTTAGGAAATATTTTTATTTATTTGGTTTGTTCATTTTCATAATTACCGATTGAGGTACATGTCAATCGAAACGGTATAAATAAATAAAAATAAATATCATTGGAATACAAGACGAGTAATAGATTTTTACAGCGATTACTGTATAAATTTTCATACACCAATGTGAAATATTTTTAAAATCCTTCATCGCTTAAAAACTGCCACTCCGAACATATTACAATAAAAATCGCTACTCGAGGCGAACGTCGTTGTAAATGCACCAGGCGGTACGAGAAACCAGTCGAGAGACGATGACGAACAACGGATTTTACACGAGGTGAAACGTTAACGCGCGAAGAAACGTTGGTAGCGAAAATCGGCGAGGGGACACGTCGCGTCACATGGTCAACATGATCGTCTAAGCGCGAGCAAAATGGCGACGGTTGATAACATACAGTGTGACCAACGTCAGCGTTGGCGGTCACCGTATTATTGTTACGTGAGCTGTAATATAAATATTCCGAACGTTTGTCGATTATGTCGACAACAACAATAACAACAATAACAACAATAACAACAACAACAACAACAACAACAATACATTCGTACGACTCAATACACATACGTCGAGCGTAAATCGCACGTGAAACGTGTGCAAATCGGTCGCGCGGAAGCACGTCACTGTTGTACTCAATCCGACCGAGCGGAGGACGATTGCGAGCGCAGTTAAGCGAAGCCACGACGAACGGCACACGGTGAGTAACCCGTCGCGGTATCGTTGCGGTCGTGCGTTGAACACGGGCATTCAGGACCGCGTGCGATCCGTAGGGTTAGGCGGAACACGCGAAACGGCCGCTCGTCGGACGCGGTTTTTATCAGCATCACGTGGTCACCGAAACAACGTCGCGCGGCACCGCCATCGCGTGGACCACGTCGTTCGCGCACAGTGACCACGTGTCGGTTACCCGTTCTCCTCGATGGAGATACGGACGCGGCCCGCGCACTACCCTGGACGCGGGGACGAGACTGATATACGGAAAACGGAAACGTGTTTTCGAGGACGTTAATTTCAACCCGTTCCGCGTGACGGTTTTTCACGCCGAGGAGACGACCGCACGAGCATATTGGCCGGGCCGTGCGAACGCGTTTTTTTTTCATCGGGTCCGGTGCACGGGCTGGCCCCTGAAAAGCCGACCCGTGCACGAAAAATCGTAAAAATCGTCGTACCCACCGGCCCCGACAGGTGTTCATCGCCGAAATAATACTATCATTAAAGCACCGCGCGATCCGAGTGTTCTTCTCGTTGATATCGAATCGAACATTTACAATTATAATAATAATAATAATAATTATAATAATAATATTAATTTAATCCCGTGGTGTTTTATATTATTTCGATGAAGAAGAATTGACACATTTCGCCACGGACGCCGAGCGTTCACTTTTACCGGACGACAACACCGCATCAGCCGCTGTCCGCGAGACACGCGTCGCCGCAACGCCCTGTTCAACCGTGTTCAGCCGTCAAACCGTCCAGTGTCTAACCGCAGCCGATAGCTACAACAACATTGCGCTCGATTCGTCCGCGTTGGTCTCAGGTACGTAGTGAGTCACTACTAGTGACAAAGTATACTGTTGTTGCCGCGTGATTTCCGTAAATACGCGTATCGTTTCGTGTATCGTATATCGTTTCCAATAGTTTGCGAACAACATTACAACCCCCCGGATACAGTCAGTGAGCGAGGCCTGTCCCGGAACCGGTGGGCCGCAGCCTAAACGATCCATGACTAAGGTGACCATACATTTTCATCGTCAAAATGAGACAGAAAAAAATATCTTCATAGTTTTGATTACGAACAAATTTTTTCTTTTTTTCTAATAATTATTAACAAAATTAAGTACCATTATGGTATGAACAAAAAAATTGAATTAATTACACTTATTAATTAGTAACTCAGTTTTATCATAATCAACTTTTTTCTATATACATATAAAAAAGTTTCGACGTGAAGAAAATGGTCAACGATTACTGTAACACTGAAATAATGAACTATAAAAATAATTTTCCGTTTGCCCTGATGTGGCTTTGCTTATATGTATATTTTATTTTATTCCAATACACCGTACCCGGCCCCTGCCATTGTTGGTCGTCACTCGTCATGCACACATACTAGTTAAATATAATAAAAATAATAATCCATCATCGAATTAATATTGACCATCGTTATTTTTTACTACTTTCTGCAAATAGGATATTTTAATGTCCCGAAGATACTCCGGGGGATGACGAGATGCAGACAAAAAACGGAACCTTAGCTATGACACGCCCTGGCGCGCTGCACCGCCGTTGGTACTGGCACGCTATCCTGTAATCCATGGATTTCTTTGTCTTCACGCCAGTAGCGCAATTATCGGGAGCGTTGGGTGTGCAAATTCACTGGGGGCCCCGAGATCTCCTGATATTACCTTTATCCCTTACGATATTCCTACTATAATTTGTATTATACACATGTTACATTATTTGTTTTAATATAATAACAATAAATAATAATTATAATAAACAAGAGTCTTGGACTGGACATTATCACAAGGGCCCTTTACTATGAAGTTGTGTCATTGCTTCGTGCCACGTGAGTCCAACACACATCGCGCATGTTCCCCGTGATAGCCGTCCCGGCACGTCGTTTTCCGCGACCGTTTCATGTGTACGCGTACACCTATGTGTTGATTGGGTTAAAACGCTACATTTACCGTACATTTTTCCCGACCTTTCTTTCACAATTGTGTGCTCAAACCCTTCCGGTCACGGTACGTTCCGCAGTCCTCTTGCTTGACGAACATCAGTTCCGTTTTAGAACGTATCATAAATATTTAAATGTTTGGACTGGGAATATTAAAATTTGGGAGAGGTTAGCCCCCCCCCCCCCCGACTACTACTATTTGTACCTATGCATATTATAATCATCTCAAATAGTATGTTTCATAATATAGGTATGTGTGTGTGTGTCATTGTGTATGTATATTTATGTATTATTTTCCATGTTATATAATAGGAATGGGCAACTTAAGTAACTTAAGAGCCGATTTTTAGAACTTTAAAATCTGGCGGACTGTAGTAAAGAAAGCAAAATTGAAAAAAAGGTCATTAAAATTGACATTTAACATTTATTTTACAATATTTAATTTTGCGACTGAATCAATACAATAAAATAAGTACCTATAGCTATGTTAGCTATGCCGATATGGATATATATATTATATTAAGACATTTAATGATTTAACTGGAGTTTAATAATAGAGATTAATATAATATCTACATTTTACAATCAATGTGATAAAATTAAATACTGATAAACGCTAAAATGTTATGAAGTGATTTGAAAATTTTGCTTGAACTAAGTAAAAAAAGTACACACCAGTTGCTCATTCCTTATATATATAGTACGATTGTACCAAAATATTGTTAACTGCTTAATTATTAGCATCAAGTATGTTTATATATTATTTATTTATATTGTTGTGTTAATTTCTTTTCTTTCTTTACATTAGGTAATGATCAACAAAATGAAAATGTTAAAGTTGTCGAATATCGAACGCAGAAAATTAATGAGACTGAATATTATACGTCATAGAGAAACACTTTTAAAATATTTAGGAAATATTGATGACACAACTTTAAGAAATAAAATAAATAAATTACATCCTAGCAATGTAATAGATTCAAATTTAATTGAAGAACTTAAACAAGAATCGCCAGTAAAAGTCGAGGTTAAAGAAGAAGTAATTTATGAAGAACAACCGAAACCCAAGAGTGAAGATGAGATCTCTGTTGGATCCAACAATGAATGGCAAAGTATTTGTGAAAGTAAGATTGAGACTCCTGTTGAAACCAGGAGATCAAGCCGCTTAGAATTAGTTAAAAAAGATGCCCATCACAGTACACGGCGTGAAGATTGTAAGTACATAATACATTTTTATTTTTTAATTATAGATAAGTATGTAATTATTCTGTTATTAACTATGTTTAATTTTATTTTTTTAAGTTGTTTACGATGTACCACATGCTAATGGTATTAGATCGAATCCGAAAAAGAACTGTTCCAAGCGGCAAGTAACTGCGTCCCAAAAAATTCCTATTCCTGTTAAAAAGAATGCTAAGGTCTTACAGTCTATAAATAATCGTGATAGGTCATTACATAATGCTAAAGAACGAGCGTGTCGACAGAAAATATCAAAGTTATTTGATAATCTGAAAAAACAATGTAGTTACTTGGAATCCAATAGGCGCTACCCATCTAAACACAGTATACTTATGGCTTCTAAAAAAGAATGTGATTTGTTAAAGATTTTTGAAAAAAAATTGACTGTGGAAATAAAAGAGTTGGCTGAAATTAATGCAAATTTGAAGAAAAAGTTAGAGGAACTAAGTAATGTAGACCATTCTAAGAAATCGAAAAAGTATATAAAATGAGTTTTTAGTCAAAGCTCTAACATTGAAAATACTGTGGTAAATTTTTTCGTTGCAAATTGATCCAATTTTCTGTTTTTGAGTAGTAATTTATAATTTAGTCAACAATTTTTATTTGTAAAGAAATTTAAATATTTGTGAAATAATATTTTTTGTATAAATTGTAAATTTATATTTCTCAATTGTATGTTATTTACTGTTTGCCATGGTGTAATTTAATATTATGTTAAATATGATGCATATCATACATATAATTTTTAAATATTGATTTTAAGAGTGCTATTTATTTTGATAATATCTGCATAAAATCTTTATTGACTAAAGTCTATAATATACGAATTTATTACATTATACATGTTATATCGTTGGAAAAGTATATCATATAATATTATTTTTAATATGCTCAAACTTATTTTTAATTTTTTTTGCCCGATTTGTACAGTTTTTCTCTATATGAATAAATATATTTGTTTTATTTAATTGTATTTTCACTATAGATATCTTTTGTACAATCTTGCAAGCAGGAAGTGTGTTTTATTTTTTAAATAAAATACTTTTGTTTTTAATTATTGGAATAGTACAACATTTTATAAAAAGTTTTAAAATTATTTTGTTTTTTTATTGTTATTAATATATCTAAAAGGATAGATAATAAATAATCTATAATTCACTAAATATTCTTTTTATTTAAATTTTGTTCAGTTTAATCATTAACAAAATTATCCGGTTTATACTTCAAAACTATATTACATACTCTATATACAAATTGAAGTACATGCATATACATTTAATAGTTTTTCTAATAATTTATTTAATAATAATTTAATTTTTTTTTAAAGACAGTTAAATTATGTGATAAAAATTAATACACATGATTTCTATTTATATTTTTAGACATTACAGATTGTTTATTGTTTATTTTTTGTAATCATTAAAATTAAACATACATGTTTTATAATATATCATGGATGATGTTACACAATGATGATGCACGATGGACTTACATTTTTGAGGCGAATTAAATAAAAATGGTTCAAGATATGAAAAAAAAAAAAAATGTAATTAGTGGAAAGTATATAATATAAGGTTTTTTTTTGTTATTTTTTAAAAATTATATCGCCCAAATGATGGCCTTGGCGAGCAACGCACATGTAAAATCGTTCTCGAATATTGTTCAACACCCTCGCTAGTATATCGTGTGCAATCCCTTCGATTTCTGGACAGATTGCTTCCTTCAGTTCTTCAATGGTTTTTGGTTGACGTTAAAAAAACCAGATTTGAGGTACCTCCATAAAAAGTAATCACATAGGCTCAAATTAGGGGAGCAAGAAGCCTATGCGATATCTTCCCGTAAGATCAGGCGCCCAGAAAACATTAGCATGAGAACTACGTGTTATTGAAACGGGTCGTATGAGCAGAAGATCCATCTTGTTGAAATCAGAAGTTATCATTATTTAGTAATTTATGTAGTTCTTAAATCTTGTACCCAATTCAAAATCGTATTCCGACACTTTCATTTGGATTTGAGCTAAACCGTGTACGAAATGCTCTCTGCGTTGCAATCACACATAGCGTTTTTGTAAAATTTCTCAAAAACAAAACCATGTTGTTCACCTGACTGCATCTTTGTGACGATTAAAAACTCCATGATCCTATTTATCGTGATAAACCACTAAATTTAATCAGTTTTATTACGTGATGATTATTGAAATATAGGAGCCATTACGCCGCACCCTGTATTATAAGGTCAGGTAATTTGTTTCTAAAAATGTTTAGGATATTTCCGGGATTGAACTCAATTATCCGCGTATGCGCTTGAATTATGATCTTTGGCGTACGCAGTGGTATTTGGCATTTAGTAGTAATTTTAAAAAATTACACTTTTTAGTACTCTCAATAAAATGGAATTCTTTTAGTGAGGCCATTGAATGATCAAGTGGTGGGTGATATATATTTGTTTACGGTTGGGACACTTAATAGGAGAAATTATATAATATAGCTGATTATAGGCGTATATAGGGATGTCTTGGGGAAGGGACTTAGACTTAAATTAAATTTGTGGATATTTTTAACCAAATATTAAAGCTGAACGTAATACAACGGTGCGAAAATCCTATTGATTTCCACCAGACATGGATCCAGAGTAATTATTAGGGAGGAAGGCATTTCATATTGTGGACAAAATATAATATATAAAATTCAATAATTCTATAATATAAGTATTACTGTTAACCATAAATATTTTTTAACACTGTAGAAGATTAAACTTTCAACTAAGAGTTTAAAAAAAAAATTAACGTAGGAACATCGAAAAGAAAAATTGTTATTTAAGAACAATAAAAAAAAAAATTAAAAATTAAATTAAATTCAAAATTATAGAGCGAAATCTAATTTTATTTTTTATTTTTGAAAATATATCAATACATAGTTGCTATAGATAAATTATAATTGTTATCATTGCTTGACATACAGTGCTCGACTTGAGGGGTGATGGAGTACCCCAACTGATATTTAGAAATTTTAGCGTTCCCCTACTATTATTACGTTATAATTATAATGCTTAACATGTTCTGGGAACAGTATTTTTTTTAAAGTAAACAGAGCCCCCCCTTCTTTAATTATGCCGAGTCGAACACTGTTGACATATAATATTATAATTTTTTTTCGTTTTGTTTCGTGACATTTGAGGGGTATCTTTTCCATTCCCTCCCCTCCTTGTATTCGCGTCTGATTTCCGCATGAATATTTTTGATATTATCCCTAAAGTTATGCATTATTAAGGCAAGTTTTGAAATATTAACACTCAATTGTCTAAATTAATTAACAGGCATTGTTCAGAGAAAACAAGGACATTAACAATGTTTATTTATTTTTATAAATTCTAACCAAAACATATTTTAGGATGAAACAAATATTAGCTGCTTGTGAAAGTTTCGGTTAATATTTCGAAACATGACGTCACCGAATGGGAACATTTTAATAACTGTCGAGAGGGTGACATAAAATGTACCACCCTCTTCCCCCAATAAAAATAAGATAAAATTTTTTCTTTATTAATATTACATAATTGTAGTAATTATGTAATAATTCTTAAAGAGTTTTCTGAAAACATTAAGAACAAGAAGAGCCAATTTAATTGGACACGTACTGCGTCATAACAGTCTATTAAGCAGAATAATGGAAGGTGCCATTGAAGGGAACAACAGCAGAGGCAGATCACCACTGGACTACATTAGTCAAATAGTTAGAGATATGGACTGTAGATCTTATTGCGAATTTAAAAGGAAAGCTGAGAAGCGTCAGCAGAGGAAAATTGCTGCCAACCTGCTTTAGGGCTGTTAACAAAAAAAAGAATGATTGTAGTAGTAGATAGTAGTAAATAATTACATTAATATAAATTAAAATTCAGTAATAACCAATGTATAATTTAAAATAACAAAAAAACTTCAAATATATAAATTTTGTCTAACCTCTAAACCTACATTTAATATAGCTGCTAGGGTCAATTGTCTCTCCAAGCCATCCATTAAATACGGACCTATATGTATGCTTGACAGTTGCATAAATAATTTGTTCAGGAAAAAGTTGTTATAGACTATCAAAGGGGCATGAAGAGCGGTTTGAGGTCTACAACTTCACCAACCTGATTGAGCGCTTTATTTCTTTTAATTATAGAACTTCTTCAAAGCTTGGGATATTATGTTGTTCTAGTGGAATAACTAAGTTATTTATTTAGCAATTTAACATTTTAAACAAATGTTAGATAATGAATAATAATGATAATACTTAGATAATTTCGGGCATGGCCATTTTCGACCAAAAATGTACCCTTCCCTTTTTTGCCGATTCACTTTTCGACCAAATTTATAATAGGTTCATTCCCTTTTCGATCAAAACAAAAATTTAAAATAATAAAATAATCATGTACAATTTGTGTAAATAATTATTAAAATATTAATATAAAAGAGAACGATATTTTGTATCTAATTTTGATCTTTTATCGTAATGAAAATTGTTTCATTTTTTTCAAAAAATCAGAACTTTAAATTTAAAAATGTTAGGACTTCGCTCGTTACGCCTGCCGGTTCTACTTATAAACTCAAGTGCCACTGCGTGGCACTTTTCGGGGGGATGGGATTTCGCCCCAAGGGAAATTATAATCTAAGCCTAACCTAGTTTTTGTACAAGCCTTGATACTGTTGCAAATGGGATTATGCTTTGTATGTGAATCCATAACCTCGCTACGTGAGTAAAACCTTGAATCTTCATTAATATATTATAGTAGTTTCCATCATAATCAAACATTGTATATCATTATTTTATTATTTTAAATTTATGATATACATTTTTGTTTTGGTCGAAAAGTGAATCGGCCGAAAAGGGAAGGGTACGGTTTTAGTCAAAAACGTAATCGCCCATAATTTATATTTTTATACAAACTTTTGCGATGTTTCATGGTACAGCGGTAAGTTTTCATCGATCATTTAAATGTGTATGTTACGGTGAATGATGTAAATGTGGTAAAAGACGTCATTCCCCGGTAAATGACATCATTTACTTAAAAATTGGTAAACGTTGTAAATGCAGACATTCTCCGGTTATTGTCGTCAATCACCAGTTTGATTGGAGAATGATGTTTAATACTTTTATAAACGAAAATCCCAACTAGCAATAACGTCGATAACCCGAGTAATAATGTGAGATATTTTTTTAGTTTATTAGTTAGTATCGACGGATATATTATAGCGAGTTGTATTTGCTACGAATGTGTGTTTTATAATATTATTTGTAAAAATTTGTGACAGAAATGATAGAATATGGGGCGTTGAAACACAAATATACACGAGCACAAATTTCTCCATGTAAAGAAAAATTTCTAAAGCTAGATGAAGCCATGAAAAAATTAAAGACAGGGAAATAACATAAAGAGAAGCAGCAGGACATGGAATAGTTGGCCATCAAGGATTTAATCGATGCAACTGCAAAACTGGTTGTGGTACTAAAAAATGTACTTGCAATGCAGTGGAAATGTTGTGCAGTTCAAAATGTCATAGTAACCAAAATTGTACAAATAAATAATTTGTAATATGCACGTATTTTGTTATTTTATTATTTTTTTATTTTAACAATAAATCATTATTATAAATAGTACCTATAGTAAAAAAATCAGTGTATTATTTGAGATTTATCATCATTTACCACTAGTTTTGGTAAATGACATCAATAACCGGTGAAAGATGTACATTTGAATTTAAAATCTGGTTTTTTACATCATTTACCTACATAATCGAATCATTTTAGTAAAATACGTCATTCACCGGAGAATGACGACATTCACCAATATTAATCTTTTACCGTAACATATACATTATTCAAACCGATATTATATTATACATAAATATTATTATAAATTATATAATATAATAGTATACATACATATTGGCAGTAGCGTACATTCAATCTTGCTCTGGTGGGGGTCT